ATTATCACCTAAGCTCTGCCTCCTGTCAGATCAGTGGCAGCATTAGATTCTCATAGGAGCACGAACCCTATTGTGAACTGTGCATGCGAGGGATCTAGGTTGCCTGAGCCTTATAAGAATCTAATGCCAGATGATATGAAGTGAAACAGTTTCATCCCAAACTACCCTGTCCATGGAAAAATCATCTTCCATGAAACTGGTCCCTGATGCCAACAAGTTTGGCAACTGTTACTTTAATAGAACCATAATGAGGCATATCAGTTCATTTTTGTTTCTACTTACCTGACATTTGTTTATTGAAGACATGCTTCTTACCCAGCTCTGTGCTAAGAGTACTTTACTTAGCCTTCCTAACAACCTTTACTAACCTGCCTAACAGGCTCTTCCTAAAGTAGCTCTTAGCAGAGAGGTTGGTAAATAGCAGGTGCTCAATAACCTTGCCCATTCTTCTAATACATTTATGTCTTCTGTACATCAATGGATCTGAATGCACACAGTATTTCTCTTGTTAGTGTCACATAAGTAGTAGCCTGAATTCAAGAAGTCTCATGAGAGACATCATTTGCTGTAGAGAGGCTTAGCTTGCTTAGCCTTTTTTTTTTTTTTAAAGACAGAGTCTCACTCTGTTGACAGGAGGTGGAATGCAGTGGTGCAATCTCAGCTCATTGCAACCTCTGCCTCCCGGGTTCAAGCAATTGTCCTGCCTCAGCCTCCCGAGTAGCTGAGACTATAGGCACCCACACCCAGCTAATTTTTGTATTTTTAGTAGAGACGGGGTTTCACCAAGTTGGCCAGGATGGTCTCGATCTCTTGACCTCGTGATCCACCCACCTCAGCCTCCCAAAGTGATGGGATTACAAGGATGAGCCACCACGCCTGGCTGAGGCTTAGCCTTCTTAACAGGCTAAGTGGCTCTTGGCATAGAGCTTGGTAAATAGCATGTGCTAAATAAACTTTTCCATTCTTCTAATATGTTTATGTCCTCTGTCACATCAATGGATCTGAATGCACACAGTATTTCTCTTGTTAGTGTCACATAGGTAGCAGCCTGAATTCAAGAAGCCTCATGAGAGACATCATTTGTCATAGAGAGGCTGGCTGTGGAGGCAGGTGTCCCCTGTGACGATTTCAAAAGCACTAGGAATGATGGATGAATTTTCCAACTTTGCTGCGATTTTATTAACAAGTGAATTTTCAAAGGCTTGTCTGGTATCTGCTTTGCAGATTTTCCCTTTGCTTTTTAATTTTTTATTTATTTATTTTTTATTTTGGGGGAGGTTAATACTTTTAATTGCATGATTGTAATTATACAATTTCCACTATTTGATATTCTGTATCAAACCAGTTACAACTCACAAGATTTTCCAATGTGACAATATGTATCAAACTACATACATATTGAAAGTTTACAGGCCATTAGGAAGCTTTATCTTAACCTTCAGGAATACGAACACTCATTCAACCAGTTCTCTTGGCTTTAAACATTCATTCTCAGCAAACTATCGCAGGAACAGAAAACCGAATATCGCATGTTTTCACTCATAGGTGGGAATTGAACAATGAGGTCACCTGGACACAGGAAGGGGATCATCACACACTGGGTCCTATTGTGGGGAGGAGGTAGGGGGGAGGGATAGCATTAGGAGATATACTTAATGTAAAAGTTGAGTTAATGGGTGCAGCACATCAACATGGCACATGTATACATATGTAACAAACCTGCATGTTGTGCACATGTACCCTCGAACTTAAAGTATAATAAAAAAATAAAAAAAGAAGAACAGGTGCAGGAGAAATAAAGATAAAACAAAAAAAAAACAAAAAAAAAAAAAAAAAAAAAAATTAGAAATATACACTGTAAAAAAAAATCAAGACAATGATTGATCAATACTGATCAGTTACATTTTAAAACTTTTAATAATCTGTACATGAGTGCAGGTTAGGTAAAAGCAAATTATTAATAGAAAACTGCAGTACTATCATCGGATGAACATGTCTGCTGACAATTCTACCAGGAAATTGAGGAGGTAATTTCCTACACAGTATAGCTGAATTGTCCAGTCTTTAAACACATCTGGAGTCATCTCCACTCAGTGAGGTGGAGAATACCCTGATGTGGGGAAATGGAAGAGCAGCAGCTAGCCTCTCCAGGGCAGTTTCAGCAGGAGAGAACATTTAAAGGAACAATAAAATAGGTTTTAAAAGTTGCTTTTGATGAGCAATGCTTTCCAAAATGCAATAATGATTTTTTTTTTTTTAATGTAGAAAGAGAAGCTATGTTAAGAACAGACATCCAATGAATGCACTGCTTCTGTGGCTTAGACGGTGACTGGGAAAAGGGGGAAGCCCCAGGAGAGCCCTCGGACCACCCACAAGCACAGGACATCCCGCCCAGCGAGCACACTGGCCTCCAGCACACTGGCCTCCAGCACACTGGCCTTGTGACAATGCTTGGGAACTCCTCTAAAACTTGTCTAGGCCCAAGAAAAGAGAGGTAGCAATCAGCCCCGTGAGAGGGCTAGAGGGGAGGTGAGGAAGGAGGTAGGGGACAGGCTAGGGGCATCAAGCTCAGAACGGAGAAATTCTGGAGGCCGGCAGAGCCATGTATTCCCGGGAAGCACTGGCAACGCCAGGCCGTTCTGCTCTCTGGAGGCGCTGCTCCCCACCAAGTTCTACAAAAAGTCACATCCGTGGGTACTTCTAGGAACCCAGTTTTGCAGACGCTCTTCCTCCCAACTGTCCCTGACTCTTGATAATTCTGAGTCCCCAGAAAAGCTTCAAGGGCACCTAGAAATATTCACTTCTAATTTTAATTTCATTGCAAACTGTCCCGGTGTACTTTCAGGGCTGTTTAAGGCTCTTAAGGGAATCTCTCCATCTGACAGACACAGTTTCATGTTCCATAGCAACAAGGTCTTCTATAACACGGACTCTAAGTCAGAATCCCCGAAGATTCTGGGTGTTTGTGGCTTCAGCTGAGGGTGAGGGGAAGAGTCCACTCTCATTCATAGCAGGAAGAACTTTCCATCCCTCAGACCCAGAGACTTCCTGGATTCCAGAGACGGTCCCCATTAAGTGTAACACGGTTGCTATGCACACCATCCCAAGTCATTTGGTTATTACAAGGAATGCTTTTTCACCAAATCACAAGTTTTCTATGACTAATTTCAGTGAACCAGTTAAATAGAAAGATTTTTAGAAAGAGCCACCGTGATAGCAATTCTAGGTGGAAACTTGAGCAGGCAACATGAAGAGGCAGTTTATAAAATGAAAAACAACTGTGGTTCCACTGACACCCTACCTTTTCTTGGACGAAACACCAGGAGGCTTGTTCACTGTGAGGGAGACAATACTCACAAGAGCTGTGGTGCCCACGTTTACTTGTTCTGGTGGGACGAAAAGTCAAACTAAGAAGGGATCAGACGGAAGCGCGATGTTCACAACTACCTGGATTACTATTTATGGAGGGGATGGCCTTAAAAAGGGTAAGGGAAAGAAGAGGTGCCTTGAGAATTCAATGCTTTATGCATGGCACAGTTTGAATATTTATATTTTCTCAGCTCAAAATAGCAAACGGAATGTTCTTCCTCCCACCCAAATCTTACTGAAGAGTGGTCTTCCCACAGCCAAGTGGATCTTTGTGCCTATTCATTTCCAGGGACAGAAAACCACTGTTTTTCTGTGATCCAGTCCCCAGTGTTTAAAAGCTGGCCTGACCCCACCCCATAGTGCCTGGAGGGGAAAGAGTCGCTTGTTTGACTGAGAACACGGCATCTTCTGTCTCTCCTGATGCCAGTCAATTTCATACTTTCTTCCAAGAAAGCACACCAAAATGGAAGCACTGCCTTTCAATTACTTTTTGCATTAAAGACTTTAACTTGTTTATTCCAACCGCTTTTATTTCTTACAGTTTTGTGAAAAAGGCAGCTTCTTAAAATGGAGTTGCCTACTGATCTGGCGCACGCCTTGTGGCTTAGGAGGGCATTTGTTTCCCACTGCCTGTCAACATCTCAGCCCTCCATGCTCCCAGCACAGGCAAAAATGGGTTAAAAATCATTCAACCACCCACTTCTTACGGAAGGAACTGAGGTGAGTATTAAATATTCTTTATTTTGGGTCCCATTTTTTTTTTCTGGGGGGCGGGCAGCAAATCAATTCTTTTTGTAATTGCTTCATGGCACAGACTCTGCTGTGTTCCAGTAGGGTTGTGGGAGAAGGCACTCTACAGAATTACCAGTTGTGTTCCCTAATCAAAGGCAACGGTGAAATCCAGAAGCAGATCATTGTCACTGAGATCACAGGCCATGTCAATGGCCTTAGGCTGATCTCATAAGGAAAAGAAAAAATCCAGTGTTACAGAGAAGAACTCTAAAAAAGCGGTAACTTTTTAAGTCGACATTATTTTGGATTGCTGTTTCCAAGGCAAAAAACCAATAGTGTGTTTTTTCCATGCATGGAAGGAAATATGATTTTAATTTGTATGACTGGCAGCCAAACAATGGGCAACCTCCCGGTTCTTCAGTCCCTAAAGGACAGAAAGAGGAATGACTTGCAACATCTTCCAACTCTGAAGTCAGTTTCTCCTCCTGAGTCTTCTAAAGCTACCATTAATATTCTCTTGCAAGTTTTACGTTACCAAGGTACCACCTGGTATTACAACATGCAACAGTGTTTAAATGTGGTTTTCACAGATTCTTGTTAATACAGCACTCTTTGGTGGAAGACAAGCAGCTTGATTACTTAACAGAGTTAACATTACAACAGTATTACAAACAGTCAAGTGAAGATGATAAAGCCAAATAGTATCAAATTACAGAAAGTACCATCTCAGTAATGCCTTTTGTATCTTTGTAAATTTTGACACAGGATCACAAGGTGAACAGAAAATAAATACATAAAAAACCTCCATCAGATCCTCAAGTCTTCTGAAGGCCAGCAACTACAGTGCATGCCATCACAGGGTCACACACTCACCACAGACCAGCCAGCTCCCTGGGTACCAGAGGGCTTGGGTATTTACACCTGAGACTAAATTTACAACAGCATTTTTGTCCTTCAGCTTGAGAGCTGGGTCCTTCTTTGAGTCATCTGCTTGCACCCAAACTCAAAGTTCATTATTGAAACTCCAGTGGACATTTTCTCCATTGATCGCTTCTTAGGTGGAAAGCAACTAAGGCTTTTGCAATTTTGTGTTGTTTTCAAATTGTGCTAATTTCTGTTGCAGTTTTCATTTCCTAGAGTCTTCCTTCAGTTCTGGTCACAGGATTTTACTTAACGCAAGACCGTTTTAGTCCTTGAAACGGAGAGAAGCAGCTATCTGTCAGGGGGTGCTGATGGCTACTATGTTCTGAAACCATCGAGACAGAATAGCAGGATGGGAAGAATGTAGTCACAAACAATCCACCAGATGACAATACTACATAGTGCAGAGGTCAGCACAGCTAGGGGACACGTCAGAGGAATAGCGTTTGTTTTTGATTGTCTTCTGCTTTTCAGGGCCCGAAGTCTATCACCTTGTGTCACTCCATTGATGTCGTCGTCATCACTGTAAGGTTCGGGTTCTTGCTGGTCTTGATTCTCAACCCCATTTATGGAAATGTCATCAACACCAGAGAGAAGTTTGGAGAAAGCTGCTCTGTGTTGTCCATTCTCCTGCCCCTTTAACTTCTGCCGAAAATAGTCCCCTTCCAGCCAGAGGCTTGTTTGCTTCATCACCAAAAACTGCTGCTGAGGCCCAATCACCAAGCCAGGTCTGCAGATCCTTACCCACGCAATGGTCTCGGCTGCTGTCATCCTGTAATGCTTCATGATGTAGCAGGCTATCAGAGTGCCCGTGCGACCAAGGCCAGCTTTACAATGCACTGCAATGGCACCCTCAGCATTTTCACAGATATCCAGAAATTCTTTGACAATGGCATCACTAGGGGTGCTGCCATCCACAAAGAAAAGATCGTGGTGATCGAAGCCAGCATCCATAAAGCGTTTGGCATCATACATCCTTTTATTAAGACGAATAATGGTAGTAACATTGTGATTCTTAAAATATTGAATATAAGTCTCAGGAGAATGTTGGGGGTAACCACTTTCAAGTCTAGTTCTTGAATGAGGTCCACAGAAGGCAATAAATCGGTCTGGTATTATCCAATTTAAGTCTCCGTTTTCTGCTTTTTCATAGTGTTCATATTCATCAAGGTTAAATGAGTTGAAATTAAGGAAGCCATACTGCATTGCCTTCTTTACTGCATGAAAACAGTCAAGAAGTGTAATGTAGAAATTGCAACTTCCATAGGCAGCATCTCTGAAAGGAATATAGGATGTATCTCCAAAGATTAATATTCTATATGCTTCTTCTGGAGTTCTCCCCAAATATATAACCATGTAGCATCCAACAAGGAAGGCAGCATTGGCTTGTTTTCTCTGATCAGAGCCAGTAAAATGAACAATTTTCTTCCTTAACATTGTAATGGACTTTAATTTCTTATTTATCTTGCAACAATATCTGTAAACCATTGCCAGATTGAGTGGTCCAAAGTCTTCGGAGAAGTTCTCATATTCGAGTTCATTATCTACGCTGAAATAATGTACATTTGATGCACTCTTTGGTCTGCTGTTGAGAATGGCAAAACGAAGGCGATCGGTGATGTCCAGGTACACGTCGACCTGGGGGCCCCGGCGGCGCGGGTCCTGCTGCGTGGAGCTGCGGATCTTCTTCACAACCGGCGAGGTCGACGAGCAGCGCGGCGAGCAGGGAGACGCGGCGGCCGAGCTCGACCGCCCCTCGCTTTTCCGCTTCATAGAGGCGACCGCGGCCAGTCAGGGAGCAACGACCAAGGCCCCGCGCGCCCGTGCGCCCACCGAGGCTCCCGCCAGTCCCGCGCTGGCGCTCGGGGCGGCAGGCGCAAAGCGGCGTTGCGGGAATGGCCGGCGCCCGCAAAGCCTGGCGGGAGGCGGTAGGTTAGTGCAGGAGCTGGAGGAGGGGCCTGGCCCACAGCGCCTGCCCCGCTCCCTCCCGCGACCGCCCTCCCTTTGCTTTTCTAAACCAGGAGCTGAAGGGTTGTATCATACTGACAGCAACGAAGTGTTAGATGAATAAGTCATAATGCTCTTGTCATAGCAACCGCCTGGATCTTAACCTTCTCTCCAGACTCTGGAAATTCCGCCAAACAAGTGTTAAAAACTTTGAGTATGACTCTATTACCAAATGACAGTATTTTTGAAACACACATTTAGGATCCATTAAAAGTTGGAGATTGTGACCATTTGGTATGGAAAGTCACGCCTGCTTGAAGACAAGTTAATGCTGACATATTGCTCTTTCACCAACTCTCCCAATACCCCAACCTTGGAAACATGGGAGCACAAGATAGTTAAATGGATATTTTAAAAGACGGCATTTCTTTTTTCTGTTCTATGTGGACTTTCCAAAGAAAAGTCTTGGAGAAGCTAAACAATGTATATAGAAGATCACACATGGGGTATCACATGTGATAAATTTTATACCCAGTCAGTGTCATCCCAAAGCCAACATGCAGCTCTGCACTTCTCGGGAACGAAACAGGCCTCTCTACTTCACCAAAGAGAGCTTTATGAAGCTTCATCCCTAAGTTCTGGGTTGGGGGTAAAATAAAGAAGAGGACTGATGGGTTGCTCCTGAGCTTACTACTCATTCATACATCTTTTTGCCGTTTCTGTTTGGTGGGATTTCCCCCAATCATTTATATCCTTCTGGTGTCCACAAGGAGTGAGACCTAAATTCCCAATTAGATAGGCTTTATGAAATTTTAAAAGTTAATGTATACATTGGAATTAGTTTAGGAGAAAGGAGAGAAGAGTAAAAGGAGATAGGTAAAGATTCATATTTGTCCTTAAAGATTCAAGCTTCTGGATGCCACAAACACTTTGATTAATGGGGACCTCAAGAATAATTTTGTTCACTACTGTCCCAATGCTTGCCTCCCGTCCACAGTATTTCTGCCCAGTGAATGCATTGTATTTTCTTTTTTCCAGTTTTTGTTGGAATACCCACGTCTGATAGGAAACACACGTCTGAAGGCATGCAGTGAGGATGGTGATTTCCCTTGCCTTTTCTTATCATTTATTAATAGACTCAGAAACAATTTACTGAATCTTTGCTCTTTGCTAGAGACCTGGTTCTTGCTAAGAAATGCAAAGTTTCATATGAGAGAGTCTTGCTCTTGGAAGTTGCTTGTATAGTCACCACATTATCTGTGAACACTTAGATCCCTGTTTATCATAATTTAAAAAATCCTAAACACAGCTGATTAGAAAAGTAACGTCATCCAGGTTGGCCACTCAGATCCCTTCTTCTAGGAAGCAAACGTGAGTCCCAGAGCCCTTCCTTGTTCTCTTTGGGATCCCCAAGTGAAATGCTCATGTAAAATTTAATCTGAGTAGCCATGTCTGAAACAAGTGAAAGGTAAGCTGAGAAGGCCACACTTCTAAGAAAAAATGATAAAGCAGACTCCTAGAGAGAAACAACAATGATTGACCACGTGGCACCAGAGACAATGGAGACCCTTATCTATCCTTTCAGCCTGAGGTGGTTTCCCTCTAGTTATTGGCATCTGCTTCTCAACAGATCTTCTCCTTAAGTTCCAGAGACACTATCTTATTCTTCCTTCCCCAGTCCTCCTACAATTGTCTGGCTAGTCTGAGAGTGTTTGTATCTACAACTCAGTGATTTCTGCCTGGGTCTTTGTTATTCAGGTAACCACAGCAACAGGCTCTATTGACACACCTGAAAAGATATGTCCATGGCCACCTCGCTGGGGGAGGAAAGTAAAGGGCTCTCCTTTTCTCAGACAGGTTATTTATTTTTCATTGTTGAATCCCTTTTGCTCCTTCTACCTTTAATGTTGAACTCTAATATGTGTGGAGGGTGTTGGACATGGAGAAAGTTTTATTTTCTCACCCAAATTAGCTACCATTTTGACCACCTTTTCTGCATAAGGTGGAATATACAGACAACTAGAGGAAGGTTTAAAGAACAGTCTACTAATTGTCTCCAAGATAGTCTAAACTTTTCAGAGTCAAGGTAAGCTATTCTGTAAGGTTGGACCAAACAAACGGGGAGGTTCTCACTGGACATACTTATTGAAAACAAAATCCAACAAATGAGTATAAATAAATTGCAATGGCCAAATAGGGTGGTCATGATGCCACAGTTACTCCCCTGAAATTCCTGAACTTTTTTACTTATAAGAATTCCAGGAGCTGGGTTCATCACAAACTGATAATGACTATTCCAAGAAGTGCTGTAGCCTTTAGCCAATCATCTGTTAGCTTCTTTCTGTTGACCAATGGTATTTCTATATGAACAGGCTGAGACCACCTTGCTATACCTCTTCATTTTGTCCTTAAAATCTGCTTGTAGCCTCTCCAACTGAAAGCACTTCTCTGACGTAGTTTGGATATGTGTTTCCCGGGTTACACTCCTCAAATTTGGCCAAATCGCATTCTTTACTTATGCTAATTTTGCCTTAGATTTTTACTTCAGGTCAACATTATGGATGCCTTAGATGGATGTTTTTTAGGTGACCCAGTTGTTCAGTGGGTCACCTCCATTCTTTATCTCTTTCTAAAACCTCTTATTCTTCCCTTAGTCCTATTCTTTTAAGTCTTTTCCCCATCCTGAATTCTAGTCCTCATTTTTTGTCTATTTTAGTTACTCTTCCCTAAATACATATTCAATCCCAAGTCTCAAGTCTCCTCTGAATTTTATGGTGAGATTATTATCCCCAGCTCCTCACAGCTGCTTGGGGAAAGGGAAACTATGGCGTCAGTCAAGGAGTCTCCTCTGCATCCTGGCTTTCTCCCTTCCCTTTCGTTTGAGCTCCAGCTATAAGCTTGTTCCCAGAAGCTACACGTGCTTTGGAGCTTATACTCATTCTGCTCCCTCTACGTAAAGTAAATATTCTCCTAGGTTTCCTAATTTTGTAGCTTACAATTGTCTGTCCAAACTTGGTGGTTTCTAGAGCACTTGCATCTTATTTTATTGTTTGGTCACTGCACCTGAGAATTTGCCTTGTATTATTCTGCATAAAGAGATACTGTACAGTAGTATATTCAACATACCACCTCACATGCTTGTCTGATACATCCGTTTATATGGCTGTGAAGTTTAAATAACTTAAAATACAAAAAATAAGGGATATTGGACTTGGGAAGTACAAGAGTTGTAAAATGATTAACTAATTAAAATAATACAACAGTAAATGATTTTATGGCTTCTAGTTATTTTTCAATCTGGAAATTATTTGGCATATAAGAAAATGGAGGAATACAAGCAAGATATTTGTCGTAAAATAAAATGATTAAGGTGGGGATTTCATGTGGTTCTTTTATTTGCTCCTCTTGCATCAGAACAATTCAGGAGGTTTGTGCTTATGAGGCATTTATAACACTTAGTTCATCTTTAAATTAAGGCATATTGTCACGCCAGTATCGTTTTTCCCTTCTATATAAGAATAAAAGATAGGCTCTGTAAAGCCTCTGAACAGTCTAACTAAGCTGCTTGCCCTTCATGCCAGTGACAAGTAATGAGTAAGAACTATTAGATGTCATTGAGAAAACAATGGCATTGGCATTGTAATGCCAGTGCCAATCAAAATTATCTGGTAGTGAAAATTGGACTTTAAATTTTAAAAACATGTGAGAGCTGCTAGAAAAATTACGAAAAATTGAGTAGGGTCACAGCACTCAACAAATCTTCCAATTTCTCTGCCACAGGCTTAGTGTCACCTGTACATTTTCTAGTCTAATAGAATGTAATAGCCCAACAGGGTCAGCAGCGATATGTGTCTCTTCCAAATACATTTCTGTTTACATTCCCGGGGTCCAATTATAATAACAATGACATAATTTGAATTCTAAACACATTTGTATTGTTGATATAGTACGAAATTTTTCAGCTAATTAGAAAACTCTACCTTTTAAAAATGCACAGTTAATAAATATAACACATACACATGTGCTGCTGTTTCTGTTTTTGTTTTTTGTTTTATTTCTTGCCAATAGCTAAGCCTATGACTACTACTTCAGGGAAGGTTTATCCAATTTAATATGAGCTGAGGACCGTTGCACTTCTAGCCTTCAAGCTTGTATTCTATCAGGAAGATGGAATAGAGAAGAACTGGTAGATAACGTTGTATGTCTTTGTCGGGCACATGTTTGTAGTCCCAGCTATCTGGGAGACTGAGGTAGAAGGATCACTTCAGCCTGGGAATTCAAGACCATCCTGGGCAACATAGTGAGACCTTGTCTTTAAAAATAAATAAATACAAGTAAGTAAGTTTTAAAATAAAATGAAACAAAGTATGTGTTTTTAAAAAAATTGTATGAACTCAACATATGGGTAATTTTCTTCAATTTTTTCATTATTAATGAAATTAAGGAAATACAAAGATTCATTTTAATAAAGATTTATTACTTAGAAGTATTTGAACATTTTTACACTATTTACTTTTTTATCACAAACCCTTCATTGTTTTTTATTCTTGGCACCATTCTTAGGAAAATGGAGACCACAGCCCCAGCTTCTCCCTGCAAATTCCCATTTGTGGTTGAGTAGCCAAGTGGTTCACTGCGCCTCTTGCCACATTCAGAAGAAACTTCATTCATTACACCAAAAATAACTGAGAAATAATGAGAATGTTTCCTATAAAGCCTAAAAATCACAGTAAAGGGGGGATCCATTTATACTACTGTTATGAATTGAATTGTAATTTATGCATCTTGTGATGATGCATAAATGTTGGGGTTTTATTTGTATCTCT